GCATCCCCCCCCCCCTACCCTAAATTTGAACACCCTCTGCCACTTTTCCTCCTTTTTCATGGACTCCAGATACACCGGCACCTGGTCCGTCGATCTGATGAACTTGTACCATCTGTTGTATCTGGACTCCATGATTTTTCTCCACCGCACCTCTCTCTCCTTTCGTTTCATTTCCCCCTCTATTTCCTCCCACTCATCCCTCGCTTTCATCCTCCATTCATCCCTGGCACTCTTCCTCACTCTCTCCCATTTACTCAACTTGCATCCATACTCACACTCTCTCCTCTCGAATTCCCTCAGACACTCCTCAGCCAACACATTCCCATCCCCGTTTCTCAATTTCCAGTCAAAGCCCCACGCTCTTTTCCTCATCCTCACCATCAAACTGCTCCTACAGATCTCATCCCTCACCATATAACCTGGACATTGCCTGCTCACTCCAAATACCCACTTCATAAACTTCTCCTCCATACCTTCCATGCTTCTGCACCCATTCCATTCCCACAATTCCACCCCATAACACATCGTCGCCCATACCAATACATCAAACAAGCACAATCTTCTCCTCCAGTCATTCCTGAACCTTTTCTTCCCAATCGTCCACACTTTCCCCATCATCCTGCCCGCCGCTTTCGCTCTTATCTTCATATGCAACTCGTCACTTCCATTCCTCACCAGCCAATATCCCAAGTAACAGAATTCACTCACTTCATTCACTTCCTCTCCATTCATCCTCCACACTCTCTCCACCATCCCCTTCCTCTTCCTCTTTCCAAACTCCATCATCTTCGTCTTCCTCACATTTACTACCAGATCCTTTTCCTTCACGTACTGCTCAAACTTTCTCATCATCAGCCTCATCCCCCCCTCCGTATCCGCCAACAGAACGATATCATCTGCGTATGCCAGGTGGTATACCCTCCTTCTCCCTAGTATCCCTGACATCCCTGTCTCAGTCCTCTGCCCGTCCAAAACTCCTCTCCTATTGCCCCTCCTGCCTTTACCCTACCTATTGTCTCCCTGAAAGCTTCCTTAATCCTCTCTATCCCTCTCTCTAACATTGTATCCCATAGCACCCCCCTATTCACACTGTCAAATGCCGCCTTAAAGTCCACAAATAAGGCAAACAAAGTCCCTCCCTTCTCCTGGACCTGGACTTGAATTTTTCTATAGAATATTTTCTATTGAACATTTCAAAAAAATCGGCTGAAAATTAATAGAAAGTTCAATAGAAGTCCAATAGAATTGTCTAGCGAATTTGCTAGGTTTTTCCATTAAAGTTTTTCATACGTAGGCCGCGGTTATAGATGACCAGTGACTGAATAGTCTTCAAGAAAAAATGTCTTAAATTTCTCGACTCATGTGAGACATTTGAAATTTCAGTCTTCACAAACTGACCCGATAAGACACATTATTACGTCTAATGTCTTAAATTAAGATGTCTGAAAGGCACTAGTGTTGACATTAAACTCATGATTTTCATCATCAAAACAGAGTGTCAAGGATAAAAAATGTTCTAGCACTTGAATATCGAATTCACCCCCTAATTATCATTCCATAACTACGACGGCTTTCGGCGGAGAGAAGGACGGACTGATTGTCAGTAATTCAATTAGTTATTGTATACTTCATACAGCCATGGACATCACCTCATCGTTCATCATTCTGCCATGAAAATTCGTTGCCCTTAGAGAATCATCACAAAGAGCCTTGATTGTAATATAAGATATCTCTTGTTTCCATCCGAGTTGCTAATCAATTACTGTTCAGTATTTTACCTTATTGTGTATGTGATTCTGTGCAGGGTGGGAAATTGCGTCCAGGGGAGGTGTATGACGTTAAGGTGAGATTTGTGTTTCGCTGTAACACAAAGCTTACCAGCTAAGACCGGTCTACAGACATCATTTAGTGTTCCAATACTCTAATTATTTTTTCCTCCTTTGCAATTTTACTTTTATTCCCGATATCACGCGACTCATTGTCAGATTAATTGTTAAACATTTTCATGTACATTCACATACACAAAATAATTTTATAGAAAAATCTGGCGAATTCTATGGAAGATTCTCTTGGATTTCTATTGAACTTTCATTGAAAATTCTATTAGTTTTCAGTCAATTCTATTGAGAATCACTCTGTGTTTTTCTATAGAAAACTTCCAATAGAAACTAGTCTATAGAAAAAATCAGTAGAATTTCATCTGTCTATAGACCTTTTTCTATTGAGACATTTTCTATAGGAATTTCGTGAAATCAATCCATTCTTCGTGTCCTTCCCTTAAAAGAATAAATTAAGAAAACTTGGAAAATTTACACTGAGAAATTTCGATACAAAATATCTCAACAGAATAAGTTGTATAGAAAAATGGATTTCTCTGGATATTTTCTACAGAATATTTTCCATTGAAAAAAAGCATAGATCAGCAGCGAAATTTTTCAATAACATTGATCAAAAACAAATTGAATGTTCAATAGAAATCTAACAGAATTTTCAGACGAATGCGCTAGGTTTTTCCATGAAATATTTTTGTACGTGCATCCACTCATTCATCCTCATCCTCATCAACATCACGTCATTGGGGACAACGACTATGACAAATGGATATATTTATACCGCCGAAACGGTTAACGAAATCCTTAATGTTCTTCACTCTTTAATCAACACATTAATTGTTTTTTAGCTAATTACAGCCGCTGCTGTTGTTGCTGCTACAACGCCCAATTGACAATTCAAAAATAAACATTTTCGCTATTTTAATACTGGAATTTATATTAAACCCAACAATTCATCTGGACAAACAAAGCCCTAACAGTGTCTCAGTATTCCTGGAATAATTCACTCTCATGTCATGATTATTACATATTTTTTTATGCACTCAACTTGTTATTTCTCACGGAGCAGATCAGACACGGTCGCCCTGGTGAGGTGCAAACCGGAAGACAGGTTAGGCATTTTTGAAGAAAACGAAATATCAAAAGTCTTTTTGTTACGTGTTTTTTTTTATTTAATCGTCTCTGAATTGTATAAACATTGTGGTTAATTATACAAAACTTCTGTACAAAGCATAGATATTCACTGACACTTGTCATGAAAAAGCAGTATCGGCAGAGTAAAATGGAACGAGTTGACGTACGCAAGAATTTTATAGAAAAACGTACTGTATTCGCTGGAAAATTCGATTGCATTTCCTATTTCGATCAAATCCATCCCAATCAATTTAAAATTACAATAACTTTGTCCCTCCGGATCGACAAGTTAAAAATTAAAACTTAGCGCCTTCTCTGAGATTTTTTATAGAACGTTATAGAATTTCTATAGGATTCTATAGAATTTCTGTTGGAATTCTATAGGAAAAAGGTCAAAAGATGTCAAGTTTTCTATAGAAATTATTGGCCATAAATTTTCTTATTATTTTCATTCGTTACTCGTAATAAAATCCAAGCAAACAAAATAAAGCATTAGTGCCAAGAATTTTTATAAAAAAATCTTTCTGTTTTTCTGTAAAAATTTTTCGTGCGTGTTTGATTTCACTTCAAGACGAGCTCTCAATAAAGAACGCATCTTCAAGTAAAGTTAACTGTTCTTTCCTATTTTACATCCCCAATACTGAATTAAAGTAGCTCTATAGTTTTACAATCAAAAATGCATGCAAAAAATAATAAAAAATTGAGTTTCACAAGGAAGTCAATAAATTGAGATATTTTTGCAGTTAATAAATATTAAAAACTCACTTTCGCAAAATTTTTTGACACTTAATTTGTGAGAATAAAATCTTTTCAAAAAATACTTTTTTTAAATTTTTTTCAGTCAATTCAGTCATCAAATTTGTGAATACGAAACTATTCTGAGAGATAGAGCTACTTTAAACTGTACAGTTCATGTTCTAGATAGAAAAGCTGATATGAATACGATATCTTCGTTAATTATTCATTCAACAGCTCTGTAAATACCTCATAAAATTATTCATATATATTATCGTTGTAAATAATACACATGTCGTAGAGTAGAGAAAACATCCATATGGAACGGATATTGGGACCAGAGACCTACAATCTCGAATTACTCACCTGTTTACTCTTCAATCTCACTCATTATTTCACTCTCAAGGGACTATTATTCGCCAAGTGTAAATATTCATCCTCAAGCCATTATTTACGGAGGCGAGACTGCGAGACCAAATGCACCACTTTAGCTGCGAATGTAGAACAAACGTGTCGAGATTGATTAATTCCATTGATTCCCAATTAACTCACCGAGGTCATGTTCTTAATAAAATAATTGAAATGCCTTGACACAGAGCCAGATTATGAGATCAACGGCTTGATTTACAATTTCAAACTAATTAGAAGAGTTCACCTGAGAGTCAGCATTCTCCCGAAGCTCATGAATCTTAAAATTTTTCCATGTCTCGAGTCCCCTCGAAGTGTAACTTGTCTCGCAGTCTCTCCCCTGCACCATGTAATATATTCTTCATTTTAGAAACTTCACATGTCATCTATAATCACGTCATTTCATCCCAACTATCTGCTGAACTTGTATTCATTGTTTAATTATCTCTCATACTCCTGGAAACAACCTCATCTATACGTGCACGCCAAATTCTCTCATTCTTGTGTTTAAACCTTCCATTTCTATTATTCATTTACTACTCTTGTGCTGTAACTCGTTGTGACTAATTGTTCATCTCTAATTTGTCTAACATAACAACCTCAAGTAATCTGTAACACATTTATTCCACTTATTATCCGTTTATTTGTTGGCTTATAAATCATTTTCGGCTATTACAATGTGCATGTGATTAATTAATCACACGAATAGTTAATGTAGTGCATGTGATTTTTTAATCACATGTACGTTTCAAACTATTAAATTTAACTTCATTCAAAAGAATAGACGAAATATAATTTAAATATCAAAATATCAAATATTCCTTTCCGTTTTGCAAAAATCGCGGCATATCCGAGTGCTATTCAAGTAAAAATATTAATGAATGTTATTAAAAAAAATTTTTTTTATAGAAAAACCTTGTGAATTCGTTAGATAGTCCTATAGGATTTCTATTGAACTTTGTATTAGTTTTTGGCCAATTCTATTGAAATGTTCAATAGAAAATATTCTATAGAAAAACTCAATAGAATTCGTTTCTCCTATACAACTTTTTCTATTGAGATATTTTCTGTAGAATTTTCTCAGCTTAAATTTTCCAAGGTTTTTTTGTTTGATTTTCTTGATAAAAAGAAAAAAATAGTATGAAGAAATTTGGAAAATTTAAACCGGGGAAATTCTATAAAATAAAAATCGCTCAATAGTATAAGTTGTATATAAAAATCAAATTCTATTGAACATTTCGACAGATTCGGCGAAAAACTAATGGAAAGTTCAATCGAAATCGAATAGAATTGTCGAATTCGTAAGATTTTCCTATTAAATTTGTCCGTGCACGTTAAAAATTGAAAGACGCAGCATATACTATTCAACATCGATGCAGGTAAGAAAAAAATGCCGAAAATGATGAAATGTTGGTTTGACGAATAGTTAGATGAACCTAGAATAATCAGAGATGCTAAACAGATATGATAATTAATGGTACATCACAACAGCGACGTCGTCCCAGTGCGGACATCAGGAGACCAAGCGTGGCGGACCTCGAGAATAAAATCAACCAGCCTAGTACCCCCCTCCGAGATGTCGGACCCGGTGGGCCACCCTCCATTGTCGATGTGCAGGAGTCATATCCCGTTGTTGAAGATGCCACGGGTTACGTCACCGTTCAGGTGGAAGGTAATCCAGCACCAACATTCAAATGGTACAAGGGAATGACGGAGATCCATGAGGGTGGTCGATTCAAATTCCTCACGGATTCTGAGACCAATACAATCACCTTGTGCATGAGAAAAGTCAAGCCGAATGATGAGGGGCAGTACAAAATTGTCGTCAGTAATATTCATGGAGAGGACTCGGCGGAAATGGCTGTCTACGTATCTGGTAAGTTCCGAAAGGGCGGATATCTCCGGGGATTACACTGTTAGAAAATTACTCCAGTGAAATTTACAGTGAAAAAGCTTGAAATTTTTAACAACGACAAAGTTGCATGAATTTTCTGTATATTTCTTTATTGACGAATCAGTTAATTTCTTGAACATTCAAGTAATTCTCGATTTTCAGGTCCATACGTCACTGAAAAACCTTGAAAATTTTAAAAATTCAGGCAATAACTTTTCTGAATTCTCAATTGATTGAAAATTGAATTGTATGTGATGTTCAATTTTCACGATGAGTTGGGAAAGTCAAGCTTTGATTGAAAAATCGATGATTATTTAACATGAAAAACCCAATTTTCTTGAATTTTCAAGATAAATGAGAAATTTAGTGAACGCTTTCACTTGAAATTGAGTTAAATCTCGCAACATCGAAAATTCAGCTAACGCTGTCACTGGAATGTCAAAAAATTTCTAATAGTGTATATGGCACGGCCGATCTCGTATGTCTAAAAATGAATGATTAGTGCAAACAATCAATTGTTTTTTGTTTGTTTGTCCCGCAGACGCTAAAAATGTTGAAAGTAGTTCAAGGCCTCCAATTTTTCGGCTACAGAGGTCTTTTTTCTTCAAAATAAAAAAAAAGTGTACAATAACAATTACGAATTAGTTTTTTGAAATTCGACTCTTACAAAACTAATTTCGTTTTGTTTAATATAAAAATTTGCGCCATTCATGTAAAATAGGCAGAAAAATCATTCTTGAAATATTTTGAATATATTATCGATTCTTTCAGAAACATTTTTCGGGCTATTTCTCGGTGCTATTTTTTATTAAAAAAAAAAAAATTAGCTGTGTACGAGTTGAATTTCAAAAAACTAATTCGTAATTATTATTGCACACATTTTTTCAAAAATTTTGAAAAAAAACCTCTACAGCTCAAAAATTGGAGGCCCTGGACTATTTTTAACATTTTAAGCGTCTGCGGAGCAAACAATAAACAATTAATTTTTTTGCCCAAATCATTCTTCAATGTATTAAAAATCTCATTCCAATAGCCCGCGACTGACTCATAATAGTCTCCCCTTAATATAAAACCCCAGCGTGTTTACAAAAGCATTCTATTGAAGTTCTATTAGAATTCTATTGAAAGATTCTATTTGTTTTTTTTCGGCAATTCTATTGAAAATTATGCAATTTTCCCGCGCGTTTTTTAATAGATATTCATTTGTCGAGAAAAGTATAGATGTAAATTTTTTATATTTTTTATATATATATTTTTTATATATTTATTATTCTATTGGCATTTTTTCTATACAAATTCTTGGGCATGAATTCTCTAAGTTTAAGGAAATGAGTAGAATTCCTTAGAGAATTCACTATAGGTTTTTCTATCAATTGTTTTCGTTTTGTTTTTTGTTGAATTGACTAGTATTTTTCAGGAGAGAGACATCGAATTCGATTTAAGGGAGAAAATCCAGATATTTCAACTTTCACTGGAAATTCAATGAAATTATAAATTTTTGATCAGTAGGACAACGACAATGCCCCAATTGCCTTGGATTTTCAGTCAAAACATGAATATTCACTACTAACGTACGCTGAATTTTCAATTAATTAAAAATTCAAGAATATATTTACCAGAATTTGCGCAATTTCGATTAATGTTTATGGAAGCACTGAACTAAGATTTACAATTTTCATTGATTTTTCCTTAAAATTTTCAATTTTCAATAACGAAATTCCTTGAAATTTGAACAAGTCGCCTAAAATGAGACACCGAGGGAAAAAATTAGTTCTGCCGAAATATGTCATATTTCTCTGAAGAGGTCTTTGTCGTGTTGAAAAAATTCACTTGTGAACAAAAAAAAGTTTCCACCAAAACATGATAATTTTCATAGCAGTAATTGTTCTCGTGAGACATTTATATATCGTTCAACTAAGTACATTCATTATGCAGAGAATTTTATGAGGCTCCGATTTCATCAAGCGAATGTTTTGAGTAATGTATATCTTTGTCCAATAAATACTTGTAATTTTGACGAAACAAATGATAATTCCAAGAGGAAACAACAATTTTCTTGCTGAAAACTGTGCTATTGGCAAAAATAAATAATTTCGAGAAGACAATTCTTTTGGGGAAAAAAATATTCTGTCCTCCTCAATGTATTCTTTCTATGGTATAAACCTATGGAGTTCTCCCAGATCAAATGATTGTCCTACAATAGATTATATTTTTTCCTCTCAACAGTTCGAATTCTTCTAGTGATATTTCTGATGATCACGACGAAAATTTAATTTTTGCAAAAGATATTAAATTTTCGTGTCACGGGACCTGAAAAACACAAATTTTGTGGCTCGCAGCGTCCCTCGATACGAAAATTAATATACACACCTCGCCATGGAAAACAGATCACCCTCTCCCACGTGCTTGCCATGCTCGCCTTCGGCTCGGAAGGCAATCTTGCACGTGGGGGACGGTGATCTGTTTTCCAAGGCTCGGGCATGTAATGTACTATTCCTTCTATTAAGTTGGTTGATTTCCCTCAAGTGCATCTGTTCCACTCCATCAAATATTCTCACGAAGAACATATAATTTTTCGACAGAACTAATTTTTTCTTTTAATGTAATGATTGATTCCTCATCATTTTTTTCTCCCAACATTTTTCTCAACTTTCATAAATGCTCTGGCTCAATCCAATGAAAAACAATTCAATTCGACAGATGCCAGTGGTATGGACTTCCGTTCTATGCTGAAAAAACGAAAATACGCGAAATGGGGGAGAGACCAAGCAGAATTGGAGAAGCCTGATCTCAAAGAAGTCGAAAAACCATCAGTCGCCCTGAAGAAAGTGGAGAGGGTACGTAAACACCTCGATTCAACGAGGAATACATTCATTATGACTATAATCAGCAGCAAACTTCTGCGTTAGAATTAAATTCATCGAAATAAGTAAGCCAACTCCAACGGAGTCTCAACTCGTGAGTCAATTATTTACTGTTGATTCCCTGTGGATACTACCTTTTTGTCGTGAACTCGTTTACTCATTCACTTTTTTAAATTCGTGAGATGGTACTTGGGGTGACTAATGTGGTTTTGTACAGCACGCTGTAACAATTCGTGTAGCCTCTCCAATCCTTGTAATTGTCTCGCACTGAAATATTGAGAAAAAGGTGTGGAATGTCTTTAGCCACTTCCTGGGGGGCGAAGCTGGTATCAAGATGGAAATGAGATTGTCATCTTTGTGGAGGACGAGAAGGAGCTGAGGATACCACTTGACAAAAAGGGCGAGGCGAACTGGAGCTGGCTAAAGGTTTTTTCACAATCTCATGAAAAACCTCCCCTCTTCCCCATCTTCGGAAACAATTGTTCAATAATGTTATGAGCTCTTTTTTATCTGCCCCTGTATAATTTTTTCATCGAGTTATTTTTGAGTTTTTCCCCTCTTTATAATTTTGTTTTACAGAAATTACCCTTGGGTACTCTCGTGGTAGCGACCAATTCTACATTATTTTTATTTTATTTTCCAAGAATTTTATTTTTCCACAGAAAACACAATGGTTCGAATTCTGTGAGCAAATGGTCCTCATGAATTCCCTTTCGTAGGTCTATTGAAATTCCTCGATTTGTTGCCCCCCATTATTTTTTAATGAGTATTATGGGATAATAGACGAATAAATTTCACGGAAAATCGAGCGAATTCAATAGAAAATTCTATTAGATTTCTTTGGAGAATTGCACAGCTTTGCTGCATGTTTTTTCGGAGAAAATGTCAAATAGAAAATATTTTATAGAAAAAATCAGTTGAATTTTGTGTTTCTATACAATTTTTCTACTGAGTCATTTTCTATAGGAAATTTTGGTCATTAATTTTCAGTTTTTTCATTCCATTTTTCTTCTCTTTTCATAAAAAAATCGAACGAAAAAATTTGGAAAATTGGAGCCTAGGAATGTCTATAGAAAATATCTCAATTAATTTTATTTTCCATAGAGAAGTTCCCATTGAACTTTTCTATTGAAAAAAGACACGCCCAAATAAGCTGGGGAGTTATTCAATAGAATCGGCCAAAAACTAACCGAAATCCAACAGAATTTTCAAGCGAATTCCCTATGTTTTTATGAAATTTGTTCATACATCACTAGGATACCTGGTACTTCGAGGATCAAGTCATTAATTCGTTGATATAATTTTCCACATGCGATAACTCAACGGAGACAGGATATATTCGGCATTCATCGTAGACCGAGTTTGCAGGAGTTGATCACCGATTGGCCGAAGCTCGTCGTTCGTATAAAGAAAAAGGTTCGAAATTCGTATCATTGAAATTCCCATCCACGCTGCCAAAAACCCATCTCAATAATGAGGAATTCCATTAACATCGGCCTCTGACCAAATCGTTTGTTCGAATTTCGTGTTGAGGTGTTCTTCTTGCCCTCTCCTCATGTAAATTAGAGGAATGAATCCATATTTATTCACTCACTGGAAAGGTCGATCCTCGAAGTGCCATTAAAAGCCGGACCAAAACGAAGCCGACCCACACGAGTTGCTTATTGATTTTATCTTGAAATTCTTCAATAATACCCCGTCGAGAATTACGAAAGCTCGATATTGTACATTGATTGGAGGACTCCTCTCCACCCACCGAAATAATGTTTAACAGACCGAATTCTCTTGACATTTTAATCAATTAATTTATTACGAGCAATGTTGAATACAGTTAAACATTCACTGATAAATTCAAAAGGTACGTTACTTTTTGGCACCGATACACTTTGGCGCTGATATTTTTTGGCGCACATAGTAATTTTGACGCTTATGAAAAAATTTCTTTAACAATTGAACCGCAAACAATGATAAAAAAATTAGTTCGACGAAATTTGCAAATCTTGAATGGATCAGCGTGATGACTGCTTTGTCAAACATCTTAAGGATATCCAAGTATCTTTTATAGTTTGGTACTTAAATTGCATGAAAACAATTTGAAACAAAACCATGAATATTCAGCGTCGTTCAAATTACATTTTGCACAGAGTTATTTTTTTACACAAAATAATTTTTTTACAACAAATAATTGAAATTGTTTACACCTTCGGAAACCGTATTTTTCTAGGCATGAAATCCATTTTCGGTAAAATCAATTTCAGTTTCTGAATATGAATAAATTTAAATATGAATAAAATTGCTTTTTTTAAATTATTTCATAAATTTTCCATTAAAAGTAAACTTTCTAATTTTTTTCAGACTTTCTAAATATTTTCTAACGATTCAATATCGAGATTCAAATTCTGCCCAGCAAAGTTTAAATAATAAAATCATTGTAGAATGTCCGGAAACTTGGGGTCAAATGGGGATTAAATGAAAGAAAAGCATTAAACGGGAGAAAAAATAGCCAAAGTAGTTGAATATCCTTAACGTGACTTCAAATCTTGTTATCTGTTGGGTTGGATGAATATTAAGGAAAAAAAATGAATTTAATAGAGAAAAAAATTATGCAATAGTTTGTTGAAGCTTTTAACCAATTGTGTCTATGAGAAAATACATGAATGTATAAATATAACTGTATAAAAATTATAGTATAAAAAAGGTATAGTATTGTAGTAAATTAGAGAGTTTTATTTCATTAAAGTGTTGGATTTATTATAATGACAGCCAGAGAGAGACAAATACATTCATCATAGACAAAAAACTAACTACTTGTAATCAATACATTATTCAATTGTCACTTGATTCACACCTCAGGAGGAGGGAAGGGATTATTCATTCATTCCAAGCATTCCATAACCGTATATAAAAAAATATGGAGAACAGAAAAATCGATCATTTGAAATGATAATAATTCTTTTTAGTAAAACATGTTTTTTTTTCAAAAATTTTAAAATTTTGTTATTGATGACATACGGCGCCAAAAAATGCAACGCTAAAAAACGGCGCCAAAAAATCCTGTTCTGAAATTCAAACTCGACGCGCTTCTTATTTCTAGAGTAGTGGAATTAGTGGATCACGTAGGCCATCGCTGGCTGAATTAATACCAGACTGGCCGACTCTTCATCACTTCATCAAGACGGAGGTTTGATCAAACCGATCAATGATGGATTTCAATGTCGTACTCGTCTTATTATTGTATCAACTATTTTTTTTTTCATGCAAGTCTGCGTCTAAGTTATGGATGTTATTTGCACGTCGTACACATTTCAATTTACTCATTCTCATCACTACCGAGAACATTTTGCAACACAACATTGATAACATGCTCACACGAAACATCTTCGCAGACAATAAAGTTAGATGTAAGAGATGTTGTATCGCACGAGGATTACATGGCTCGTCTAACAGCATCTGGATCAGGCATGGATATACCGCCAAGCCATACTATTTTTTTATATTGTTTTTTTCATTTCATATAGGTGGCGAATGTCTCTCCATAAATGGTCAATCAATTCTTTAATTATTGATGATTAATGTTTACCTTTTCTGACGTTTATAGAAACAAGACTCGTTCCTCAAACCTCTGGTGGATCAGTACGCCAAGGAAGGAAAGGATAAGAAAGTCAGCTTTGATGCGAACTTCTCGAAACCAAATGCCAAGCCCAAGTGGTTCTTCCGCAAGGATGTGAGTGGTTTATTCCTCCTCTTTCCCTTAAAAAACAGCGTAGATAAATTCATTCAATTCGACGTTGTTTTTCTGCAGGAATTATTCCCATCGCCAAAGTACAAGTTTAAGAACGAGGAAGATTCATATCAGCTCATCATTTCAAACCCCAAAGTCGAAGACACTGGAAAGTACACAATTGATATCGGTGGAATTACGAGCACTGCTTTCCTGAATGTCGATGGTAATTATTTTCGGCTTCGTAACATCTGCTCCGTGGACAAAATTACAAAATAAAAATTTTATCGCCGATAATTTTTTCATGCCCCTTTCTCCTGTGGTACAATTCATCTGCGGTTCAATTTACCGGGTCTATTGTTAATTTTGTGACTGAATTTATAGATAAAATTTTCTTGCAATTGTAAATTCAATAAATCACTATACAAACCTTTTTAAACAAAACACCCGAAATATCCGGTACATCGAAAAAATAGTACATTACATGCACGAGCCTTGGAAAACAGATCACCGTCCCCCACGTGCAAGATTGCCTTCCGAGCCGAAGACGAGAATGGCAAGCACCTGGGGGAGGGTGATATGTTTTCCATGGGGAGGTGTGTATATTAATTTTCGTGTCGAGGGACCTGAAAAAATTATTTTAAGATTTCAAAGATTTTAAAATGAGACTTTCGAAAGGATCAAATACCGTTTTATGGAAATTTTTATCGAATTTAATTACTACTGAAATTTTCAGGAATTTCGTCATTGAAAATTCAGAATTCCGTGGAAAAATTGAAAAGAACATTTTTCCCTGAAAATAAATAGAAGACCAGAAAATTCATTGACACTGAACGCAATTTAGGGGGAAAAATTCATGAAATTTCAGATTTCACTGAAATTTTTATGTAATTTGACACTGAATATTTACATTAGATTGGAAATTCAAATAAATTAAGGAATTCTCGTCTGTATGCTGCTTAAAATTCGGGAATTTTCCTGAATTTTCAGTGAAACCTGAAATTTTATGATTTTTTTCCCGAAATTGCATTCAGTGTCACTGTCCTGAAAATCGAAAATCTCAATTTTCACCTTGAGATTTTCAAATCACAACTTGAGACATTCAAAAGTCTCAACGTGGGACCTTCGAAGGGTTAAAATTGAGATTTTCAAGTCTCAAAATGATACTTTCAAATCTTGAATTGAGACTTTCAAATGTTTGAACTTGGCACTTGAAAATCTCAAATGGAAATTTGTTTTTTTTGTGTAATACACCGATGCACACAATATGCCGAGGATGAATTGTCGGGCGATCAGATGTCAACAATACAGTTGCCCCTGAGGAAAATGTCATCTATTATTACAAAAACGTTTTATTTCTTCTTTAGAACCTGATCCCTCCTACAGTTTCATCAAGCCCCTATCGAAGCAATCAGCCGGTTACACGAAGCACGAAGTCTTCTTGGAATGTACTCTCAGCTCGAACATGGCAACAGTCACCTGGTACAAGGGAAAAACAAAACTCGAGGATGGTGACGTGTACAGCATCTCCAAGGACATGTCAGGTGTCTGCAGGTTAACAATAAAGAAAGGAAAATTGGAGGACAGTGGTGAATACACTTGTAAAATCAACAAACAGACTGAAAAAACCGAAACTGTTCTCACAGTCGAGGATTACCCCTACAAATTCGTCAAGGTCCTCAAACACCAGACAACAACGGAAAAAGAAACCATCACATTGCTCTGCGAATTGGACGACGAAGCTGGTGACGTTGAGTGGTTCAAGGGAGATCAGAAGATCACAGCTGATAAACGAGTTCAGATCAAGGAAGATGGTCGCAAACGAAAGCTCGTCATCAAGGACTGCAAGGTGACCGATGCAGGTCTTTACTCCTGCGTCAGTAATGCTGACAAAACCGAAGCAGAAATAATTGTCAATTACCTGAATCGTTTCAACAAGAAATTGAAAGACACGACTGCTGTCGAACGTGAGAAGCTAGTTCTTGATGTTGAACTTCAGGACCAGACAGCACCAGCTGAATGGTTCTTCAATGGTAAGCCCATTGAACCGAACGATAGGATTGAAATAAAGAATCTGGGAGGTGGAAAGCACCAGCTTGTCTTCAACAAGACAGAGATGAGTGATGATGGAGAGATCACCTGCAAGAGTGGAGAGCTGAGCAGTAGTTGTCAGTTGACAGTGAGAAAAGGTGAGAGCAAGCCCATCGCTGAAATTCCAGACAAGGTTGAAGGTCCCTGTGCCTCACCCATCGTCTTCACTATTCCTTACAAGATCGAGGGCACCAAACAGACCCCTGTGGAGGCTAAACTGATGAAAGACGGCAAGGCGTTGCCCCTCAAAGATGTCGAGATCGTCGTGGGAGAAGACAAGATCACCTTCAAAATTAAGAAACCCCAGCGTGATCAGTCTGGTATCTACCAAGTGAGGATTGGAAATGGTCAGGGTGAGGAGGTCAAGGACGTAAACGTCGTCATGCAGGACGCCCCATCACCCCCACGAGATGTCGATGTAACAGACGTCTTCGCGACTTCTTGCGTTGTATCGTTCAAACCATCTGAGGACGATGGTGGCTCGCCAATAACCAAATACGTCATTGAGCGTTTGGACATGAGCCTGAAGAACCAGTGGGACAGTGTTGGTGAGGTACTGCCCGGTGAGAAGTGTACGTTCAAAGTTGAAGACCTCAAGACCAAGAAGGAGTACAAATTCCGCATTCGTGCGGTAAACAAAATTGCCTCGAGTGAGCCAGCAACCTTTGGTAAACCCATCCTTGCTAAGGACCCCTGGGACGAGCCTGGCAAGCCTGGTAACGTTGAGGTGGTGGACTGGGACGTTGATCATGCTGACTTAACGTGGAGTAAACCAGAGAGCGATGGAGGTGCACCAATCACTGGCTACGTCATCGAGTACAAGGAGAAATTTGGAAAGGAGTGGGTTAAAGGTAAGGAGATCGAGGGTGATGTCACCAAGGGGACTATCGATGGCCTGAAGGAGGGAGGACAGTACGAGTTCAGAATACGTGCTATCAACAAAGCTGGTCCTGGCACACCATCAGACCCCACCAAACCCATAATAGCCAAATGTAGATTTGTCAAGCCGTTCATTATCGGTGATCAGCTGACGAATCTTGTCGTCAAGAAAGGACAAGTCATCAAGTACGACATCAAGTATGGAGGTGAGCCAGAGCCCGAGGTCAAGTGGTTCCTGGGGAGCAAAGAACTCGTGCAAGATTCTGCTGAGAGAATTACCATCGATAAGTACGAGAGGAATACAGTGCTGACAGTCAGAAAAACCGTTCGTGCTGACTCTGGAAAATACAAATTGGTCCTCAGCAATGGTTCTGGCGAGTGCGAGAGCATGGCTGATGTTGTAGTTCTTGACAAACCAACACCACCGAAGGGACCACTCGTCACTGAAGAAGTTCGATCTGATCATATCACTGTCAAGTGGAAGAAACCAGTTGACGATGGTGGCACTGACATCACTGGGTACACTCTGGAGAAAATGGATATGGACACTGGGAGGTGGATTCCTGCTGGTGAAGTTGGTCCTGAAATGGACACCTTCACCTTCCCAGGTCTCACTCAGAATAAGAAGTACAAGTTCAGGGTGAAGGCGATGAACAAAGAGGGAGAGTCAGAGCCACTGGTTACGGATGAAGCAATTGTTGCCAAGAATCCTTATGACGAACCAGACAAGCCTGGTAAACCTGAAATCTTTGATTACGATAATATGAGTGTATCCCTGCGCTGGGCGAAACCCGAGAAAGATGGTGGACGTCCAATAACGCATTACGTCGTCGAGATGAAGGACAAGTTCTCACCGGATTGGGTGGAAGTACTGAAGACACCAGACGCAACTGCTGAAGCCAAGGTGGAGGGTCTTAAGGAGAAGATGGTCTATCAGTTCAGGGTTCGTGCTGCGAATAAAGCAGGTCTCTCTCAGCCCAGTGAGCCCACTGACAACCACATCTGCAAGCACAGAAACCTGAAGCCCAGGATTGACCGGACAAACTTGAAATCTGTTGTTATCAAGGCTGGACGCAATCACAAATGGTCTGTCGACGTTATCGGCGAGCCTCCACCAGTCACCAACTGGATCTGGCGGGACAATATTCCTCTCACATCGACTGAAAGAATTAAGATTGAGAATGTCGATTATCACACTGACTTCAGCATCATCAATGCTGTGCGAAAAGACACTGGGAAGTACACGCTTACAGCTGAGAATGTCAATGGAAGGGATGAGGAGAGTGTGGAGTTGACCGTTCTTGGGAAGCCTGATGCCCCTGGTGGACCACTGGTGGTGTCCGATGTTGCGAATAAATCGGCCAAGGTGAAGTGGCAGAAACCTGAAGACGACGGTGGTGTTCCCATCAAAGAATACGAGATCGAAAGAATGGACACTAAAACAGGTAAACAGTTTACATATCAAGCGAATTATTGCATAGCTTAGGCTTGCGAACAACTTGAGCTGTTCACAAATTGTTACATTTCCAATGAAAAGATGTCATTTAAACCGAAAAGTACTTGCAACTATCGCCATCTTTATGAGCTGTCCTGATTATTTTCTCTTCAATTGTTCAGTAACTGTCATCATGCCTTTTGTCCTTTTTGATGGTTTTCCCCACTTTGCTAAACGCTCACTAGAAGATATGATTTTCAATGCTAGTTTTCCTGAAATTAAAGCCATTTATTAATGTACTCTTTATTGTTCAACTGCCAGACGAAATATTGACAAGGTAAATGCCTCAATACGCTTTTTTTCAACAATCTATTAGTTTCTGTGCATGGCAGAGCAATTGTCTCTATCTTTCTTGACTCTACTCCTATATTAGACCACTAGCTCTTCGTTGTATTCTTCACTAATTATCAATTCTTCATTTTACGATGCCAAATGTAAAAATGCAATTATACTTACTAGCGAACGGCCGCTTCGCTAGATTAATTTATACTGTCATTTTTTTTTACATTTCCGTCTTCACAATTAGATTAATTTAATTGTATTCATTCATATGATTATATATATTTTTGTTCCTTAAGGCTCAGGTGTACTATCTTTCGAACGTTATCTTGATTTTTTTTTTCATCTTTCGTTATCTGAAATTGTCAATTAAGTCCTGCATCATGCAGAAGTTTTGAAAAATTATGAATGAATAATCAAAAAAAAGTAGAAAAAATTCTTAATTTTTTCAAAGAGCATTTTTAATTTATATTCAGAATAAGTTGAATAACAAGAAATTGAAAAATGTATCTGATTTACGGTGACAAATGGCGGCCTTTCACCCAATATCATGCAAGGAGAAGACTGATTTCGTAAATCTTTTCCCACACTGCACAGAGACATTTATTATGGAAAAGGCTCTTTGAAAAAAGTTAAAATATTTTTGAGAATTTTTTAATCACACTTTTATCACATAAAAATGGCAGATGACTACATACCATTGTTTTCATAATTGAGTTACCTAGCTGTCACTTCCCATGAGGAGTTAGTGTTTTGTTATCAACCATGGAAAATGACAGCTAATAGATAATTTGCCACAGCGAATCAGATATTTGAAATTTCCACTTTTTTCAACTCATTCTGAATCTCAATTAAAAACGCCTTTTGAAAAAGTTCAGAAATTTTTCAATTTTTTTTATCATTCTATATAATTTTTGGGAATTTCTACATGATGTACCACTCAATTGACAATTTTGGATTACGAAAGATTAAAAAAAATCCAGATAACATTCGAAAGATAGTACACCCGGGCCTTAATTCGCAAGTTACAAAATTGAATGAAGAGGAATTCTCCATAAATCACGTGAGAATACAGATCGACAAACAATTTTCGATAATCATACCTAAAATTTTTCATTTCTTTCTTTTTTTTAAAATTAATTAGTACCAATGATCTGAAAATGTGAACGAATATGAACATTTTACATCCCTTTGATCTCATTTCAATGGAACAGAAGAATAAAATTGCAAATTTTCGAAAATTGCAAATCGCACTCTATTTTTCGGTCTTTTCGAAAATTTTCAAATTGTTTTTTTCTTCTTAAAAAATGAAGGGAGATTAACATTTTCAATTTCTGTGATCGCATCCGTTCACAGGAACAGGAAATACAAAAAATGTAGGGAAGGAAAATCAGAAATAAATTGAAAAAATCGATTTTTCAATCTTGAAAATTTTGAAACGTTTTTTTTTGATGATGTAGAAAAACCAATGTATTTTTTTTTTATTATCTAATTCTGACGGAAGAAAGTGAAAAGAAAAAGAGAAAAGAGATCAACACCAAAGCAGAATTTTTAATTTTTCAATGTCTAGGGAAAATTTAAAAATTGATATTTTTTCGAATAATAAACCAACACCCATAAATTCAATTCCTATCCTCATATTTTCATAGAATACATAAAAAAAATAGCAAATAATTCAAATCGGCCATGAAAAATTTTAGCGGATTATTATTATGTAATAATATGTATTGTACATAGTTTGTATATTACTTTCCCTCTGCAATGGGGAATCATATATATAAAAAATAATAATAATAATAATAATAATAATAATAATAATAATAATGATCAAACAGGTAAATGGGTCAGATGTGGAAAAGTACCTGGAAACTCACCCAATACAGAGTTCGAGATCACAGGACTCAATCCAGGCAGTGAATACCTCTTCCGAGTCACGGCTGTTAATGACGAGGGTGACTCTGAGCCATTGACCAGTGAGAAACCAATTTTAGCTAAAAATCCATTCGATGAGCCTAATGCACCAGGCACCCCTCTTATCACGGACTACGATAACGAATCAGTCAGTATCAAGTGGACAGCACCGGACTTCGATGGTGGTGCGCCAATCGAGAAATACATCATTGAGAAGAAAGATAAATACAAGCCAGATTGGGAGAAAGCAATGGAAGTGCCTGCTACTGATGATCTCACAGCTAGAGTCGATGGCCTGAAAGACCGTGCTGAATATCAATTCAGAGTTATCGCTGTTAACAAGGCAGGGTTGTCGCCACCGTCTGGTGCCTCAAAGATGCAGATGGTGAAGCATAAGGCACTTAAACCAAGAATCGATCGCACGAATCTGAAGCCAATTGTCGTGAGAGCTGGCAAGACCATCAAATACGATGTGGATGTTCGTGGTGAGCCACCACCAGAGATCACCTGGTACCACAAAGATACATTGACCAAATCCGCTGGAAACATCGAGATCGTCAATGTCGATTACAACACTAAGATCACAATTTCCGATGCTGTTCGTAAGAACACGGGTGTCTGGAAGATCAAGGCTGTCAATGCTTCGGGAGAGGACGAGGCAGAAGTGGAAGTGACTGTTCTCTCCGCCCCTGGCAAGCCCAAGGGTCCCCTCAAGGTGTCAGACGTCACCAAGAACGGATGTAAACTCAAATGGGAGAAGCCAGAGGATGATGGTGGCAAGCCAATCACTGGGTATCAAGTGGAGAAGTTCGATAAGACAACGGGTAGATGGGTACCAGTTGGACGGACAAATGATACTGAAATGGATGTGAAGGGATTGGCAGAAGGACACGAATACGAATTCCGAGTTAAAGCGATTAATGAGGAAGGTGAGTCCGAGCCGCTGACGACAGACGGTGGAATTATAGCGAAGAATCCGTTCGACGCTGCTGATAGACCTGGTGTGCCAGAGCTAGAAGATTGGGATGTCGATAGGGTGGACCTCAAGTGGAAGCCCCCGAAGAGTGACGGCGGTGCACCTATCACTGGTTACATCATAGAAAAGAAGGAAAAGCTCTCGCCCCACTGGGAGGAGGCTGCTGAGACCACTGGCCCTGAGCCCAAGGGTCGCGTAGAGGGCCTGGTTAAGGGCAAAGTCTATCAATTCCGAGTACGAGCTGTCAATAAAGCTGGACCCTCCGAGCCCAGCGATCCCACCAAGCCCCACACTGCCAAAGCAAGATTCCTCAAGCCCCACATCAACCGTGATAAGCTTCAGCAGATCAAAGTACGTGCTGGCCAACACGTGAAACTCGAAATCGATGTGGAGGGTGAACCTCCTCCAACGATAACCTGGGCACGAGGTGCTAAAGTCCTTGAGAACACACCAAACCTCAAGATCGAGAATGAGGACTATCTGACCAAGATCAATATGTCTCACACAACTCGGAAGGACACAGGCAAATACACGATAACAGCTGTCAATGATTCAGGGCGTGATGAGGCTGATGTTGAAATCATAATCCTGGACAAGCCTGATAAACCGGAGGGTCCACTGGAAGTCGTCGATGTTCACAAGGAGGGATGCAAACTCAAGTGGAAGAAGCCGAAGGACGATGGTGGTCTTCCACTGTCCTCCTACATCGTCGAGAAGATGGATGTGACGACAGGAAGATGGGTGCAAGCTGGTGTTGTTGATCCCGAGAAGACAGAACAGGTGATCACGGGATTAGAACCAGGACACAAGTACGAATTCCGTGTCAAGGCTGTGAATGAGGAGGGTGAATCAGAGCCCTTGAACACTGACACTGCCATAGTCGCCAAGAATCCTTACGATGCACCTGCAGCACCTGGACTACCAGAGATCATTGATTGGACTGAGAACACAGTGACTCTCAAGTGGGAACCACCTCACCGAGATGGAGGTGCGCCAATTACTGGATACGTTCTGGAGATGAAGGAGAAGTTCGGCACAAATTTCGTTAAAGCTGCAGAGACATTCGGCCCCAAATGCGAGGGAATCGTTCCCAAGTTAGTGGAAGGTAATCAGTATCAGTTCCGTGTTCGTGCTGTCAATAAAGCAGGACCTGGTGAGCCCAGTGAGGCGACCAACTTGCACACTGCCAAAGCCCGCTGGCTGAAGCCTCACATTGACAGGACTAATCTCAACCCACTCACCGTTAAAGTCGGTCTCACAATCAGCCTCGACGTTAACATCATCGGTGAGCCACCTCCAGCCGTCTCCTGGTCCTTCAATGGTTCCCCCATCCAAACCGATGATATCTACCGTATCGACAACATTGATTACAACACCAAATTCTTCGTACTGAAGGCGAAGAGGACTCACACAGGTAGATACAAAATTTTCGCCAAGAACGAAGTCGGTGAGGACGAGGCAGAGATCGAAATCACTGTTCTCGGGAAGCCAACGAAGCCAAAGGGACCACTGGACGTCACCGATGTGACTAAACACGGTTGCAAGCTCAAGTGGAAACGACCAGAAGATGATGGTGGCTCACCAATCGAATACTACGAAATCGAAAAGCTGGATCCACTCACGGGCATGTGGATCCCCTGCGCTAGAGCAACGGAGCCCGAGGCCAACATCACTGGTCTTCTCGAGGGAAAACCATACAAATTCCGGGTGAAAGCGGTCAACAAGGAGGGAGACTCTGAGGAACTTGAGGCTGACAAATCCATCATCGCGAAGAATCCATTCAACGAACCCAGCAAACCTGGTCGTCCTGACATCAAAGACTGGGACAAGGACTTTGTTGATCTCGCCTGGTCACCACCTGAGGACAATGGTGGTGCCAATATCGAGAAGTATATCGTCCAGATGCGCGACAAGGACGGCAGACAGTGGGTGGATGCTGCGATGGTCGTGGGTGATCGAACCCACGCCAAAGTCACCGAGGGAATTGAACCGGGACACGAGTACGAATTTCGGGTGGTGGCTGTTAACAAGGCAGGTCCTAGTGAGCCCAGTGACGTGTCGAAATCCGTGATCGCGAAGCCGAGATTCCTCGCTCCCAGGATCGATCGAAAGAACCTGACAAAGAAGACGCTGCGAGTGGGCCAGATGTTGCGATTGGAGGCTGACATCAAAGGCGAGCCTCCTCCAACAGTCACCTGGAAGTACAAGGGGGCAATCCTGAAGACGGTTGATCGTCTCAAGATTGATAATGAGGATTATCACACCCTTTTTATACTGAGCAAACTCCAGAGGGCGGATACAGGTAGCTATACGGTGACAGCAGTAAACGAGAGTGGAACTGATGAAGTTGAGATAGAAGTAATTGTCACGAGCAAGCCCAGTAAACCAAAAGGTCCTCTGGATGTTGCTGATGTGACAGCAGGCGGCTGCAAACTGAAGTGGAAAGCCCCTGAGGATGATGGTGGCGAGCCAATAGATCATTACGTCGTTGAACGAATGGACGTGGATACAGGGCGATGGGTGCCCTGTGCAACTACTAAGAATCCTGAAGCCGATATTACCGGTCTCAATGAGGGTAAGGACTACATGTTCAGGGTTAAGGCTGTGAATGCAGAGGGCGATTCTGAGCCACTGGAGACTGATATACCGATCACTGCCAAAAATCCATTCAAGGAGCCTGACCCCCCTGGTAAGCCAGAGTTCAAGGACTGGGACAAGCGTCATGTTGATCTCAAATGGACAGCACCGAAACGAGATGGTGGTGCACCCATTGAAAAGTACATTATTGAGAAGAAGGATATGTATGGAAAGTGGCAGAAGGCTGCTGAAGTTCCTGGGACCCAGACGCGGGGAACTGTTGAGGATCTCACGGAGGGACAGAAGTATCAATTCAGGATTAAGGCTGTTAATAAGGGTGGTGTGAGCCAGCCCAGTGATGCCAGTGATATTCTAACTGCTAAAGATCGTTATGCTGCGCCTAGGATCGATAGAACTAATCTGAGAGATCTCACGATCAAAGCTGGCAATCACATACGTTTGGATGTCAAAGTCAGTGGTGAACCACCTCCATTGAAGGCATGGTGGTACAATAAAGTCAAGCAAGAGGATGGACACTTTGTGCAGCTGGAATTTGAAGACTACAAGACCAAGTTCATGGTGGGATCTGCCACCAGAGCACACTGTGGCACACTGACACTGAAGGTGGAGAATGACTCCGGTAAAGATGAGGCTACCATCGAAATTTTGGTCCTCGATAAACCTGGTAAACCTGAGGGTCCTCTCAAGGTTTCTGATGTTCATAAAGAGGGATGCACTCTCAAGTGGAATTCACCGCTTGATGATGGTGGTGTACCTATTGAGCACTATGTTGTTGAGAAACAGGATACGGAAACTGGCAGATGGATACCTGTTGGTAGGACAAAGGAGCCCAACATCGAGATTGATAATCTTGTTCCTGGTCAGGAGTATAAGTTCCGTGTTGCTGCGGTCAATGCCGAGGGAGAGTCCGAGCCTTTGGTGACGGATCACAGTATTGTGGCGAAGAATCCATTCGGTAAGATGATTCATTTTATTTATAGAATAGAATAGAAGCAATTTAGTATTTCCCTGAGATACAAAAGATTCCCTAAGTGAATACAAAAATAGAACATAATTATTACAAGTGAAGCTTATGAATTAGGTATAATATTATCAAACTTTGATTTCGTTCAATTTTTTTCAATTGCTTTAGTATATTATTTTTACTTGTCATTTAGAAAATTAGTTTCATTAAATTCCTTCTTTTTCATATTTTAAATTTGCAGTCCCATAGCTATCATTACAATTATCATTATTATTTTCATTAACCCCTCACGTACGGGGTCCCTGCCAGGCAGCGATAGCAAGTCTAAATGGAGAGCTCTCTTCGAAATTGAATATTTACGAAATTATAGATAATAATCTAACGAAACCAGCAATATTGGCAAGGTGGATACTGTAGCTTCAATTACATATCACCTTTACTATTGTCCATTCCCCAAAAGCGGTTAAACTTGACTGATATTAAGCATCCGCTGCGCTTGGTAGCGAAAGCTCCCCATCCGTGAGGGGCTAACAATCGCGTAAATCAAGACAATTAAAAGATAGTAAAAGATTACAATTAAGGCCGGGGTATACTATATTTCGAACGTTACCTTGATGTTTTTTTTTCATCTTTTGTCATCTGAAATTGTCAATTAAGTCCTGCATCATGTAGAAATTTTGAAAAATTATGAATGATTAATCAAAAAGAGTAGAAAAAATTCTTAATTCTTTCAAAGAGCATTTTTAATTTATATTCAGAATAAGTTGAATAACGATAAATTGAAAAATCTATCTGATTTACGGTGACAAATGGCGGCCTGTCACCCAATATCATGCAGGGGGAAGACTGATTTCGTAAATCTTTTCCCACACTGCACAGAGACATTTATTACGGAAAAGGCTTTTTGAAAAAAGTTGTAATATTTTGGAGAATTTTTTAATCACACTTTTATCACATGAAAATGGCAGATGACTGCATACTACTGTTTTGAAAATTGAAATACCTAGCTGTTAGTTCCCATGAGGAGTTAGTGTTTTGTTATCCCCCATGGAAAATGAGAGCTAATAGATAATTTGCCACAGCGAATCAGATATTTGTAATTTCCACTTTTTTCAACTCATTCTGAATCTCAATTAAAAACGATCTTTGAAAAAGTTCAGAATTTTTTCTATTTTTTTTTGTCATTCTATCATAATTTTTGAAAATTTCTACATGATGTACCACTCAATTGACAATTTTGGATTACGAAAGTTAAAAAAAATCCAGATAACATTCGAAAGATAGTACACCCGGCCCTTAAGTTAAAAATTCAAATTATTTACATTCTAGTCAATTGGGGCAATGTTGGGTGCCAACGTTGGGACAATGTTGGTTACCAGCGTTAGGCCAATGTTGGCTCTCAACGTTGGGGCAACATTGCCATCCCCGGGAGTTATCAATGATGGCATCGTCTTCTCATAATTGTATTCTCATAGATGAGCCAGGTGCACCAGGCCGCCCAGAGGCAACTGACTGGGATAAGGATCACGTTGACCTAAGATGGACTCCACCGTTGACTGACGGTGGAAATCCAATCACCGGTTACGTAATTGAAAAACGAGAAAAGGGTACACCGAAATGGGTCAAAGCGTGCGAAACTGTTGGACCAGAATGCAAAGGTCGAGCTGAGAATCTCGATGAAGGAACTGAGTATGAGTTCCGTGTCAGAGCAATAAATGCTGCTGGTCCCGGTGAACCGTCTGACGCCAGCAAGTCCGTCATCGCCAAGTGTCGACGAGGTGAGTATTTCCTTGAGGATTTCCTCGACATGATGACAAATGAAATTAAATCAAAATATTTTATTTCATTGCAGTACCACCGAAGATTGATCGTCGCAATCTTCGTGACGTTAATATTCGCGAAGGCGAACGTTTCCACTTTGACGTCAAGGTGTCGGGTGAACCAGCGCCAGATGTTACATGGTTGATTAATGAAAAGAGTGTCCATGTGACAACTCATCGTAAAGTCGTTAATGAACCGAACAACACGAAATTCTATAATGACAAAGCTGAGCGCAAAGACACTGGTGTCTACAAAATTACAGCTGTCAATCAGTACGGCAGTGATACTGCTGAGGTCGAGATCATTGTCGTTTGTAAGTACCATTTGTTTATTTTCCGCTATGTAAAAATCAGGCTAAGGACAGAGTCAATTAAAAACATTCTGCTCTCAATTTGAGTATTGACCAATTTCAACGCAATGAGTTATTTATAGGCAAAAAAACAAATGTATTGATTTATTTATTTATTTGAGATTTTAATTTGGACTCTGGGGTAATGCACCATTTCCTAAAGGCAAATACAAAATACATACAAGTTTTGTGCCAATAAAAAAGATGGTACTTTTCAATGAGAGTGACTTCATTGAAAGTTTTTGTATGGCGTCTATAAACAGGCAGAAAGTGTTTCTCTAGATATTTACAATATACAATTTTATCTGCTATGTGCTGGCCTCAGTCATAATTACTACAGCTTTTATATAATTATTATATTACACACGAACAAATTTAATAAAAAAACCTATCAAATTCGTTAGACAATTCTATTGGATTCATTGAACTTTCTATTAGTTTTTGACTGATTCTATTGGAAAGTTCAATAAGAAATATTCTATAGGAAAAGTCAATGGAATTCTATTTTTCTTTAGCACGCATTCTATTGAGATATTTTCTATAGAATTTCTTCAGTTCAAATGGTTTGTTTTTTTCATTCCATTTTTCTTTTTTTTCATCAAGAAAATCAAACAAAAAAACTTGGGAAAATTTGAGTCGAGCAAATTGTGCAGAATAGAGTGAGCTATAAAGAAAAATCAAATTCTATTGATTTTTTCTACAGATTGTTTTCTATTGAACATGTCAATAGAATGGGCCATAAACTAATAGATATTTCCATACAAATCCAATAGAATTGTCTTTTTTTATTCTTTGATCTATGGATCTAATACTGTTAATCTTCAATTCTGCTTACCTTTCAGCTAAGCCATCGAAGCCCGAAGGGCCTCTGGACGTCTCGGATATTCACAAAGACGGTTGCACCCTGAAATGGAAAAAACCAAAGGACGATGGCGGTGAGCCGATCGAAGGCTACCTGGTAGAGAAATACGACCCTGAAACAGGTGTTTGGCTGCCAGTTGGCAAGTGTGCCGGTACAGAGATGAAGGTCGAGGGACTCACCCCAGGACATGAGTACAAATTCCGCGTGAAAGCGATAAACTCAGAGGGTGAATCCGAGCCCCTGGAAACCTACGGCTCAATCATCGCCAAGGATCCATTCACCGTGCCTTCAGCACCAGGGGCACCTGAGCCCACTGACTGGTCAGCCAATACCGTCGACCTCAAGTGGAGGGAACCATTCTCAAATGGAGGATCACCAATCACTGGTTATATCATTGAGAAGAAGGACAAGTACAGTACAATGTGGGAGAAGGCTATGGAGACTAACGTACCCCAGCCAGAGGCGCACATTACAGGCCTCATCGAGGGTAATGAGTACCAATTCCGTGTTATTGCTGTCAACAAGGCTGGCCAATCCGAGCCTGGAGACGTCAGCAAGACATTCCTGGCAAAACCACGGTTCCTAGCCCCAAAGATTGATCGAAGACACTTGAGAGACATCACTCTCTCTGCTGGCTCAACCCTCAAATTCGATGCAGCTATCACTGGTGAACCACCACCACACGTTGACTGGCGCTGTGGCTCTGTTCCCGTCGTTGCTGGGAAGACTACCATTTTGGAGAACCCACCATACAGCACAAAACTGATCATACGTCCAGTCTCACGTGGAAACAGTGGGGAATACGTGGTAACAGCCAGCAATTCATCTGGCAAAGATCAAGTTACCATTCAAGTAATCGTCACTGATAAGCCCGCCGCTCCTGAAGGACCTCTCCAGATCTCAGATGTCCACAAGGAGGGCTGCAAACTCAAATGGAAAAGACCTCTGGACGACGGTGGCACTCCCATCGAGTACTATCAAGTCGAGAAAATGGACCCTGAGACTGGCTGCTGGGTGCCCTGTGGACGCTCCACAGAACCCAACATCGATGTGACTGGTTTAACCCCAGGAAAGGAGTACAAATTCCGGGTGGCAGCAGTCAACTCAGAGGGCGAATCCGAGCCTCTGACTGCTGAAGAAACAATCGTAGCCAAGAATCCATTCGATGAACCTGGCAAGCCGGGTAATCTCAAGGCCACAGACTGGGACAAGGACCACGTGGACCTCAAGTGGACACCACCAACCGACGACGGTGGCTCACCAATCATTGGTTACGTCGTCGAGAAGAAGGACAAATATGGGGATTGGGAAAAGGCTGTTGAGGTACCTGCTGACATCTGCTTCGCTAAAGTACCGGATTTGGTAGAGGGTCAGCCCTACGAATTTCGTGTTCGTGCTGTCAATGCTGCTGGACCTGGTGAGGCGTCAGATCCAACACCGACGATCATAGCTAAACCGAGAAACCTGGCGCCTCGGATCGATCGTACTAATCTCATTGATATTAAAATCAAAGCTGGTCAGAACTTCAACTTCGATGTTAAGGTTACGGGTGAGCCTGCACCAACAACAAGATGGCAACTTGCCAGTAGAGAAGTTACCTCGAGCGATCGTATAAAGGTAAAGCACGTTGATTACGCCACCAGTCTGAGTGTGAGGATGGCAACGAGAGCTGAGTCTGGTAGATACTCGATTATTGCAGAGAATATCAATGGAATTGACACAGCCGAGGTGAGAGTAACTGTTCTTGACAAGCCTGGAGCACCGGAGGGACCACTTAGGGCCTCTGATATTCATGCTGAAGGCTGCACACTCACCTGGAATCCACCGGAGGATGATGGTGGTCAGCCCATTGAGAACTACGTTGTCGAGAAGATGGACGACGCCACTGGAAGATGGGTGCCTGCTGGAGAAACCCTAGGACCTGAGACAAGCCTCAAAGTCGATGATCTGATACCTGGACACAAATACAAGTTCCGGGTGCGAGCTGTCAACAAACAGGGCAAATCTGATCCCCTGTCCATGGCCAAGAACATCGAGGCTAAGAATCCGTTCGATCAGCCTGGTAAACCCAGCACTCCAACGATCACTGATTACGACACTGACTTTGTTGAACTAGGCTGGAGTCGACCTGTTGATGACGGTGGATCACCCATCACAGGGTACATCATCGAAAAACGTGATAAATTCAATCCAAATTGGGAGGAGTGTGCTAAAGTCGAAGGGGATGTTACACATGGCAGAGTTCCTGACCTCATCGAAGGTACTCAGTACGAATTCAGGGTGAGGGCTCTGAACAAAGGAGGTGCTGGAGAGCCATCGGACTCCACGAGACCTCACATTGCTAGACCCAAGAACCTACCGCCCAAGATTGATCGCAAGTACATGCTGGATGTTAAGGTGCGTGCTGGTGGATTCTTCGACTTTGATGTTCCTGTCATTGGTGAACCTCCACCATCGAAGGAGTGGACGTTGAAGGGAGTTGCAGTGAGCAACGACGACCGCATCAAGATCACAAATACTGATTACAACACTAAAGTCAGGTTTATGGACGCTCATCGTCCTGACTCTGGGGTTTACACCCTCACAGTCAAGAACATCAACGGCATGGACAGTGCTACACTGAATGTCATCGTCATGGACGTGCCATCGCCCCCTGAGGGGCCCCTCAAGGTCGAAGATGTCACCAAGAACGGTTGTTCCCTTACTTGGAGAACACCGAGGGACGACGGTGGCTGTGAAATCCTCCATTACACCATCGAGAAGATGGATTCTGAGAGTATGCGGTGGGTTCCAGTTGCCGAGGCTGATCACTGTGCATGCAGGGTTGATCATCTCATCGAGGGACACTCTTACACATTCAGGGTTCGTGCTGTCAACAAAATGGGGGAATCCCAGCCGTTGACTGGTATCGATGAGATCACAGCTAAGGATCCATTCGGCAAACCGAACAAACCTGGACAGCCTGTTGCCACTAACTGGGACAAGGATCACGTGGATCTTGAGTGGACACCACCGAAGAACGATGGAGGTGCTTCCATCACAGGGTATATAATCGAAAAACGACCACGATTTGGACAGTGGGAGAAAGCTGCTGAGGTCCCAGGAACAGCCTGCAGAGGAACTGCTCCAGATCTGACTGAAGGTCAGGAATACGAATTCCGAGTGATCGCTGTCAACAAAGCTGGTCCAGGCGAGCCATCAGAGGCGTCAGCTCCAGTGATTGCTAAACCTCGCTTCCAAGCTCCGATATTCGATCGACATCTCCTCAGAGATATGACTGTTCGCGCTGGTCAGAAAATCCTCTACGATATTCCTATTCAAGCATCACCGAAACCAACTGCCTACTGGAGTATCAATGATGTACCTATTGAGCAAGATCTTCGTCATGATATTTTCACCACCACCACAAGCACTACCTTTGAAATTCCATTCGCCCAGAGGTCAGACGCTGGACGTTACAAGCTGACTCTCATCAATGATCATGGGAAAATATCAGCTGGTGCCACTGTGACTGTCATTGACAGGCCATCACCACCAGAGAGACCACTTGTCGTCAGCAATGTCTCAAAAGACATGTGCCATCTGTCCTGGGGACTGCCACTCGACGACGGTGGCAGCCCTATTCTCCATTACATCATCGAGAAGATGGATGTGTCAAGAGGTACATGGTCTGACGCTGGAATGGCAATGACACTGAATCACGAGGTTTACAGGCTGACTCATCGTAAGGAGTATCACTTTCGGGTGAAGGCTGTCAACAACGTGGGTGAGTCAGATCCCCTGGAGACCACCAAGAGCATAATCGCGAGAAATGAATTCGACGAGCCCAGTGCACCTGGAAAACCCAAGATCACTGATTGGGACAAGGATCATGTTGACCTCACCTGGCCTGCCCCCGAGAGCGACGGTGGCTCCCCCATCACTGGGTACATCGTCCAGAAGAAGGAGAAGGGAAGTCCCTACTGGATAAACGCCTGTCACGTGCCATCTGGCAAGACCAGTGCCACTGCACCTGATTTAACAGAAGGCCAGGAATACGAGTTCAGGGTGATTGCTGTCAACGAGGCTGGACAATCAGAGCCCTCAGAACCCAGTGATGCAATCATCGCGAAAACGAGATTCCTTGCTCCGAAGATTAAAACACCTCTCGAAGATATTCGCATCAAGGCTGGACTCGTTTTCCACGTGGACATTGATTTCGTTGGTGAGCCTACACCTGTGGTTACGTGGACTGTTGCTGGCAAGGAACTGATGACGACTGAAAGAACAACAATTACGTCAATTGGATACCACACAATTGTGCACACTGTCAATGTCAAGAGGTCTGACTCAGGTTGTTATAATCTCCACTTGAAGAACGACAGTGGCACTGACGAAGGCAGCTTCAATCTGATCATTTTGGACCGACCAGGGCCACCGGAGGCTCCACTGGAGTACGAGGAAATCACCAGCCAATCGGTCACCCTCTCCTGGAAACCACCGAAGGACAATGGAGGCAGTGAAATCACTGGATACGTTATCGAGAAACGTGACTTAACTCACGGTGGTGGCTGGGTGCCAGCAGTCAACTACGTCAATCCAAAGCAGACTTATGCCACTGTACCACGTCTCCTGGAAGGCACAAAGTACGAATTCAGGGTGTCTGCTGAGAATCTCCAGGGACGATCCGACCCACTGAAGACAGATCGTGCAGTAGTAGCGAAGAACCAATTCGGTGTGCCTGGACAGCCTGGCAAGCCCGAGTGCATTGATGCTGACAAGGACCACATTACCATCAAATGGACGCCACCAATCAGCAATGGAGGCTCGCCCATCCTCGGATACGACATAGAACGCCGGGATCGTGCGACTGGACGATGGATAAGACTCAACAAAGAGCCCCAGAAGGACAAGGAATACCTGGACGAGCACGTGGCTGAAGGCCATCAGTACGAGTACCGAGTCACAGCTATCAACGCAGCTGGCCCTGGAAAAGCCAGTGACGCCTCTAACGTCATCACAGCTAGACCAATGAAGGAAAAACCGAGACTTCATCTCGATGCACTATTGGGTCGCAAGATCAGAGTACGTGCTGGTGAGCCCATCCACATCGACATCCCCATTTCTGGCGCTCCAACTCCAACAGTCTCGTGGCTGAAGGACGGTGGTCATCTCCCAGATGTCTATCGCATGACCACGGAAACCAAGAGCGATCATACAGTGCTGCTGGTTGAAAAATCAATTCGTGAAGACGCTGGCTTCTACACGGTCAGAGCCACCAACGAGTACGGAGAGGACTCGGCTGACATCCAAGTGATAGTCGTTGACAAACCATCACCACCGAAGGGACCACTCCTCTACTCTGGCACCAACCACGAGTCTGTGTCGCTTTCTTGGAGTCCACCCGACGACACCGGTGGTGCAGCCATCACAAACTACCTCGTCGAGATATGCGACTTTGGAATGGATAATTGGAGGCAGGTCCCAGGATACTGTCCCACGTGTAACTTCACAGCTAGGGGTCTCCAAGAAGGCAGAAGATACATCTTCAGGGTGCGGGCTGAGAACCTCTACGGAGTGTCTGAACCCCTCGACGGTAAACCAGTGATCGCGAAGAGCCCATTCGATCCTCCCGGTGCACCAAACCAGCCCGAAATTCTTGGGTACACCCCCAACACCTGTACTCTCGCCTGGAATCCACCAGAACATACTGGTGGGAAGCCGATCACCGGGTACTACGTTGAGAAGCGTGAGAGAGGTGGAGAGTGGCTCAAAGCCAACAACTACCCAACTCCAAACACAACCTTCTCAGTTCAGGATCTTCATGACGGCAGTCGCTACGAGTTCCGGGTGATCGCTGTCAATGAAGCGGGTCCTGGTGATCCCAGCAGAGCGACTGAACCGATCACTGCTGGACATCAGAGGCTCCGTCCCGACGCCCCAGAGCCTCCCAAGGCCGATCGCATTACGAAGGACTCGGTCACCCTCTCGTGGCGTCCACCACGCAACGACGGTGGTGCCAAGATTCGTGGATACCACATTCAATCCAAGAGGAAGGACGAGTCCGACTGGAACGACGTCAACGGTGCCATCATCACTGGCAACGTCTACACTGTGCCCAAGCTCAGGGAAGGCGACGAGTACCAATTCCGTGTGATCGCTGTCAACGACGTGGGCAAGAGCGATCCCAGTCGTGCCAGTAACCCCATAATCATCGAGGAGCAGCCCAACAAACCGATCCTCGATCTCAGTGGACTCAGAGACATCACAGTGCGGGCTGGCGAAGACTTTTCCATTCACGTTCCCTACATTGGCTTCCCCAGGCCAGCAGCTACGTGGTTCGCCAATGACGTTGTCTTCGATGAAACCGACAAGCGAGTGCATCAACAGCAGGGCGATGACTTCGTCAGTCTAGTCGTCAAAAACTCGAGGCGCAAGGACGGAGGGCAGTACCGTCTGCAGCTTCGTAACCAAGCTGGATTCGACACTGCTACGGTCAACGTCAGGGTGCTCGACCGTCCTGGGGCACCACAGAACCTCCGCGCTGACGAGTTCGCTGGCGATGCTCTCACGTTGTACTGGAATCCCCCGAAGGACAATGGTGGCGCCGACATCACCAACTATGTGATCGAGAAACGCGAGGGAAGACTCGCCTCCTGGGTGAAGATCAGTGGCTACGTGACGACTCCATTTGTCCGTGTACGCAATCTCAATGTCGGACAAGAGTACGACTTCCGGGTGATGGCAGAGAACCAGTACGGGACGTCTGATCCTGCCGAGACGAGGGAGCCCATCAGGGCGAGATATCCCTTCGACGTGCCGACGGCGCCAGGTGCCCCGCGGGGAATTGAAACCAGTGAGGACAGCATAACCATCTCCTGGACGAAACCACGAAGCGATGGTGGTTCACCCATCACAGGTTACATCCTCGAGAGGCGTGGCATCAGCGAGGAGAAGTGGATCAAAGCCACGCCAATTCACATTCAGGACACAAGCTACAAAGTCTCGGGGCTTATTGCCAATCACGATTACGAGTTCAGAGTGGCTGCTGTCAACGCAGCTGGACAGGGGCCATTCAGCGCAAGCTCAGACGCCATTCGTGCGTGTGCTCCGACATTCGCGCCAAAGATCACCAGCGATCTGAGCATTCGCGATATGACTGTCATCGCTGGCGAGCCCTTCTCCATCACAGTGCCCTTCACTGCCAATCCAAAACCGAGACCAAACTGGTCGATCAACGGGGAGGAGGTCTACACGGACTCCAGGATTAGATTTGAAACGTCTGATATTGCCTCCAAGTTTATCAACTCCAAGGCCAAACGCAGTGACACTGGAAATTACACGATTAATCTTATTAACACTGTGGGATCTGACACTGCGTCGTGCAGGGTGCTCGTCGTTGACAAGCCCTCGCATCCTCTGGGTCCTCTGGACGTCTCGGACATCACTCCAGAGACATGCACCCTCAGCTGGAAGCCACCGTTCGACGATGGTGGCTCACCAGTCACCAACTACATCGTTGAGAAACTCGATCCTGGTGGCTACTGGGTCAAACTCTGCAGCTTCGTCCACAATACTCACTACAATGTAATCGGGCTGGAGCCAAATCGCAAGTACAACTTCAGGGTGCGTGCGGAGAACCAGTACGGTGTGTCAGACCCACTGACCGGTGAGGAGCCAATAATGGCCAAGTTCCCGTTCAATGTGCCAGAGCCACCCTCTCAGCCTCGTGTCATCGACTGGGACTCAGACAGCATCACCATTCAGTGGGAGAAGCCCGTCTCAGACGGTGGCTCTCGTATTCAGGGGTACAAGGTCGAGTGGCGTGATCCCTCTGATGCACACTGGAAGGTCGCCAATGACTACCTGGTGAAGGACACTCACTACGTGTGTTACGGTCTCTCCAGTGGTCATGAGTACGAGTTCAGAGTGAGGGCGAAGAACGCTGCTGGCTTTAGCAAGCCAAGTCCACCTTCTGTTCAGTTCAAATTACGAAGCAAGTTCAATGTTCCCTCCCCCCCTGGTACCCCTCAGGTCATCAAAGTTGGAAAGAACTACGTTGACCTCAGGTGGGAGGCACCAACGTCCGATGGTGGCAGCAGAATAACAGGATATGTCATCGAGAAACGTGAGATTGGATCAGCAATCTGGCTCAAGTGCAATGACTACAACGTCACTGATCTTGATTACACTGTCATGCACTTGATAGAACGTGGTGACTACGAATTCCGAGTGTTTGCTGTGAATGCTGCTGGGAGATCAGAGCCCAGTTCTTGCACGACACCCGTCAAAGTCTGTGAGGTTGAGGGTGGTGAGAAACCAGAGTTCAAGAGGCCACTGCCAATTAGTCAGGGTGTGCCCCTTGGCAAGACATTTGTACTGGAGTGTCAGGCGACTGGGAAACCCATGCCGACACCCAGGTGGTTGAGGAATGGTCGTGAGATCACTATGGGCGGACGTTTCAGGACTGAAACCCACGAGGATGGCCTCTTCAGGCTCATCATCTCAGAGGTTTGGGAGGCCGACAGTGGAGACTACAGCTGTCAAGCTGCTAATCCACTTGGCATCGCAACAACCACCATGAGATTGAAGATCGGCACACCACCGCGAATTGAACGTATGCCCCAGGTTCTCTTGCTGGTTGAAAAGGAGAACGCCAAGATCAAGATTTATTACTCTGGAGACCAGCCCATGGACATTGTTCTCAAGAAGGATGGCCACAAGGTGGTAGAATCTTCGCACATAAAGTACACTGTTTTCGACGAATACCTCATCATCTTTATCAAGGACATTGAAAAGGACGACCAAGGGATCTACGAGCTCTCCATCAGTAATGACAGTGGCAGTGTCAGTGGATCCTTCACTGCCCAGATCACTGGAACCCCTGGACCCCCAGTGGGACCTCTCGACGTCTCAGAAATCAACAAACACACTTGCACACTGTCCTGGCTGCCACCGAAGACAGACGGTGGTCTTCGTGTCACTCATTACGTTGTCGAACGCAAGGAGATGACACAGGGCCACTGGCTGACAATCTCCAGCTCCTGTAAGGACACCAACTTCCTGGTTCAAGGCTTAATCGAGGGATACGAGTATCTCTTCCGAATAAGAGCAGTCAATGACAATGGAATGGGACCACCACTGGACGGCGTCAATCCCATCAGGGCGAAGGCACCCTTCGACCCACCAGGACCACCAGGCACTCCAAAGGTCCTCGAAATCGGTGGTGACTTTGTCAACCTCTCCTGGGATAAACCTGAAACCGATGGAGGTGCCAAAATCCAGGGCTACTGGATCGAAAAACGCGAAGTGGGCAGCAAATCCCAAGCCTGGATACGTGTCAATCCTGCAATCTGCCCTGCCAACATCATCAATGTCACGAATTTAATCGAGGGAAGACAGTACGAGTTCCGTGTATTCGCCCAGAACGTCGCAGGCCTCAGCAAGGAGTCGACAGCCTCAACGTCCGTGAAGATAGTTGATCCACAGATCAACAAACCTCCGGAGATCCTTAAGGGTCTGAAGAACGTCAACTGCATTCAGAATCACAACGCCGAGTTCAAGTGCATCATCACGGGCAGCCCAACCATCACCTGGTACAAGGGCGCCCGAGAACTCCAGAATAGCTCCAAATACCAGATCTTCACCGAGGAGGATTGCCACACACTAGTCGTTCGCGACGTCTATGGAGAAGACGCTGACGAGTACACGTGTCGTGCTGTCAACCGAGGAGGTCACAAGTCCACCAAGGCAGAGCTCTTCATCATGACACCACCGAAACTCAATGTACCACCACGTTTCCGAGACACAGCCTTCTTCGACAAGGGTGTCAACGTCGTGATCAAGATACCCTTCACTGGCTTCCCAAAACCAAAAATCACTTGGGTGAGGGAGGGTGAGAATATCGAGTCCGGTGGGCACTACTTCGTGGAGACAACCGAACGCCACGCCCTCCTGACCATCAGGGATGGCCACAGAAACGACTCTGGGCCGTATCGTATCACAGCTGCCAATGAACTCGGTCAGGACACTGCGATCATCAAGATTCAGATCAGTGATCGTCCGGATCCACCGAGATTCCCACAGGTGGATAACATCGGCCACGACTCACTCGCCCTGAGCTGGAGGCCCCCAATGTGGGACGGTGGCAGCAACATCACTAACTACGTCGTTGAGAAACGTGAACACCCAATGACAAGCTGGATTCGCGTTGGTAATACGAGATTCTGCACTATTGCTGTACACGATCTGTCGCCAGGGCATCAGTACGACTTCCGGGTGTCCGCTGAGAACGTCTACGGGCGATCAGACCCGAGTGAGGAAACTCCCTTGATCACGACTAAGGGAACGAAGAAAAAGCCAGCGCAGAAGTACGAAGTCAAGTACGACTCTAAAGGGAAGAAGATTCGAGGAAGGGACGACGAGAAGGTCAAGGATTACGATCAGTACGTTTTCGATATCTACAGCAAGTACGTCCCGCAGCCCGTGGAGATCAAGACAACGTCGGTCTACGATAAGTACGATATCCTCGAAGAAATTGGAACTGGAGCTTTTGGTGTTGTACACAGATGCAGAGAACGTGCAACTGGCAATATCTTCGCTGCGAAATTCATCCCGGTGTCTCACGTGATGGAGAAGGAGCTCATCAGGAAGGAGATTGATATCATGAATCAACTGCACCATCCTAAACTGATAAACCTGCATGACGCCTTCGAGGACGACGACGAGATGGTCCTCATCTTTGAATTCCTGTCAGGTGGTGAACTCTTCGAGAGGATCACAGCTGAGGGCTACTCCATGTCTGAATCAGAGGTCATCAACTACATGAGACAGATCTGTGATGCCATCAAGCATATGCACGAGAAGAACATCATTCATCTGGATATCAAGCCCGAGAACATCATGTGTCAGACGAGAAACAGCACTAATATCAAATTAATTGACTTTGGATTGGCCACGAAATTAGATCCCAATGAAGTTGTTAAGATAAGTACAGGAACAGCTGAGTTTGCAGCACCGGAGATTGTCGAGCGTGAACCCGTTGGTTTTTACACTGACATGTGGGCCTGTGGTGTTCTGGCATACGTTCTGCTCAGTGGTCTCTCGCCATTCGCTGGTGACAACGACATCGAGACCCTGAAGAATGTCAAGGCTTGCGACTGGGACTTTGATGTGGAGGCGTTCCGCCATGTGTCTGATGAGGGCAAGGACTTCATCAGACGACTTCTCGTCAAGAACAAGGAGAAACGCATGACTGCACACGAGTGTCTCGTTCATGCCTGGTTGACTGGCGATCACAGCGACAGAACAAACAGAATATCGAGCAGTCGTTACGTCAGCTTCAGGGACAGACTCAGGGCTAAATACGAAGACTGGGAAAAATACGTTCTGCCCATTGGTAGACTGTCGGAATACTCTTCACTCCGGAAATTGCTCATTGAGAAGTACAAAATTTATGACTCAACGTTTGATCGCAGACAAGCTGCACCGAGATTCGTCATCAAGCCTCAGAGTGCATTCACGTATGAGGGACAGAGTGTCAAGTTCACGTGTCGTGTGATTGCTATTGCTGCTCCGACACTCTCGTGGTACCACAATAATCAGGAGTTGAGGCAATCGGTCAAGTTCATGAAGAGATACATTGGGGACGACTACACTTTCATCATAAACAGAACTAAATTGGAGGACAGAGGGGAGTACGTTATTCGTGCTGAGAATCATTATGGATACAGGGAGGAGGTTGTCTTCCTCAATGTGCAGCCTATGCCCAGGGAAATGCCACCTTATAAACCGGATATTGCACCTGTTCGTCGCAGGGAACCACTGCCACAGTACTTCTGGCTGGAGCAAACGGAATCAGCTCCGTGCTTCACTTTTGCTCTTCGTCCACGTGTCATGCAAATCAGACAGACCTGCAAGCTACTCTGCTGCTTGAGTGGCAAGCCAACGCCCACTGTGAGGTGGTTCAAGGATAGCCGTGAATTATCTAAACATGAGTATGCTATGTCCACTTCTGATGGTGTTGTTACGATGGAAATTGTTGACTGCAAACCATCTGACAGTGGAAAGTATCGGTGTATTGCTACCAATGTTCATGGGTCTGACGAAACTAGCTGTGTTGTCATTGTTGAAGGTAATTAATTGTTTGATCGCGTACGAAAAAATTTTATAAAAAAACTTTGCGAATTCTATTGACTTTTTCTGTAGAATATTTATATTACAAAAAAATTTTAATATATATTTTACATTAAAATATATATTAAATTAAATATATTATATTCTATGTATTACAGAATATTTTAAAAATTAATCGGAAGTCCAATAGAATTGTCTAGTATAGGTTTTTCTATGAAATTTTTTCATACGTGACATTGACATGGTTGATACGACATCAATGACTGGACATTAATTAATTTTTTATTGCGATAAATTTTTAGGGACTGGCGAGACTGAGGAACAAATCCAATTAGCTCACGATTTCTTGCATTCTGGAGGTACAGATAATTTACGAGTGAACCCTTCACAGCCCTTCCTCACTTGGGAACTTTACGATTTACGTTGTCCTATTGAAGATTCATCTATATCTATGTAATTCCTGATGAGGGAATACCTGTTCAGGGGAAGAGATTTTAAAGTCCTGTCAACTGTTTAAAAAAAAAACATTTTTATCGAGTATTTGTTATTTATTTTTTGAAATATTTACAACAAAATGAAATATTCATTTTGAACCCATCCAAGTAGATTACTTAATTTCATACACAGAGGATGAAACATTCATGAAGTCCATACTCACTGAGAATAGGCCTAGAAATACCCTTCGAAATAGGAGAACGAATGCAATATTTTATAATCGATTATTTAATAGTATCCCTTACTCCTTCCCCTCTCCTTTTCCACTAGTGAACAATCATTTTGAAAAACAGTTGTGGGAATATTCTGTTCCTGTCAAGTACAAATAGATAGAATGCGTTTTATTATACCCTGAGATACAGAGATCCTCTAAGGGCAAACAGAAATTTTACATCCATTACATTATTAAACCATAGGCATAATTGTGTAAAGAGCTGTCTCACATAGAGTTTTATCCAGTTCATTCACTTGTTTAAACATTATTTGAAGAAAACATTAACCAATGATTCGGATAAAACTTTCATGGAGTCGATACTTACTAAGAATAGGCCCAGAAATACCGTTCGAAATGTGAGACCAAATGAAATGTTTTATAATCGATTATTTCGTGGACAATCATTTTGGGAAACAGTTGTAAGAATATTCTCTTCCTATCGTACAAATAGATAGAATGCGTTTTATTATTCTCATCAGATACAGAGATCCCTTGAGGGCAAACAGAAATTTTACATCGATTACATTATTGAAACATTATAGTCATAATTGTGTAAAGCGTTGTCTTCCATAGAGTTTTATCCAATCCATTCACTTGTTTAATCATTATTCAAACAACTATATTCACAATCATATGAGGTATTCCATGCCAAATGAGTCAACGGCTGATCCTCACCCTCTTGAAAATTGATGGCCATTTTTTCTACGATTGGGGGGCTTGAAAAACTATCTCTCAAATTTTCTAAGATTTTTTTGACAGCCCAGTGCGGAGATATTTGTTTTTCAAATTTTTCGTTTTTTTTACAATAACTCGAGTTCTACTCATCCGATTTCGATTTATTAGGGATCAAAATTTTCCATTTTTCACCACCTATAAGAATGTTTTTTGTCCAAATTTTTTCCAATCTCTAGATGCTTGAAATAACGAATTTTCGAAAAAAAAGTTGAAAAACTTGAATTTGGCTAATTACGTCACGGTTGATTATTTTAATTTTTTTTTCAGTAATTCCTATAATCAACACAAAAATTTTGAGCCATCATACATGTTGGGTTTCGTCTTAGATCTATTTTATTTTTAATTTTTTATTCTCAAAATTCAGCGAATTCGGTCAAAATACCCCAAAATGTCATTGGTTGACTTTGATTATAAACAGTATGAAGTAAATTTAAATATATACCTATATATTACATATTTTTTCGGTACATAATTAAAGTCGTTTTAAAGTGTTTTCACCAAATTTTCGCAATTTTAAAAAGAAAAAATTAAAAAAATACATCCTGGATGGAACCCAACATGTATGACAGTTCAAAATTTTCGTTTTCATTATAAGAATTACTGAAAAAAAATTAAAATAATCGACCGTGACGTAATTGGCAAAATTTAAGTTTTTCAACTTTTTTTTTCGAAAATGCGTTATTTCGAGCATCTAAAGATTGGAAAAATAAAAAAAAAACATTCTTATAGGTGCTGAAAAATGGAAAATTTTGCCCCCTAATAAATCGAAATCGGATGAGTAGAACTCGAGTTATTGTAAAAAAATGGAACAATTTGAAAAAAATCATATTTCCGAATTGGACTGTCAAAAAAATCTGAAAAAATTTGAGAGATAGTTTTTCAAGCCCCCTAATCGTAGAAAAAATCGCCATCAACTTTCAAGAGGGTGAGGGTTAGCCGTTAATGCATTTGGCATGGAATACCTCGTATATTTATTTCTTATATTTTATTTATTTATTTATTCATTCATTTTTATTCATTTTAATATAAATTCTATAAAAAAACGTGGTCAACGAAAATCGTAATCGTCCTTGAAATATTCAATCTACCCCCCCCCCCCCCC